TCGTACATACAATATATTGTATTTTATCTATCAGAATACGAATTGAAAAGTTACGATGTGAATAATTACAATCACAACATGAAAATTTGCGCTTTCATCAGTAGGAATACGAATTCACAGACGGGACTTTAATGTCAAAAATACGTCATCACTTCACAGACATTATTTATCGAGCTGAAGAAACATTGATCAAGATCAAGACTGCGCATGCTTCTTTTTGAGTAATTTCAACCAATACTTTTTTGATTAAAGGTACTAGTAGCAAGCTATCTAACCTTTTACGTTCTGGAAGATTGTGACTTTTAAGTTCATCAACTTAAATAACTGAGGCAATCGACTGTCTACATTTTTTTGAGTTCTTGCAACTTATTTGAGTTTACAGTGTATGTTTGAGTAACCCATTTTCATTAGTCTGTCTACATCTCCAAAGCTCCAGCATGCTCCTTTCCACCTTGTGATGTCATGAAGCAGTAGTTTTCAAACTGAGAGCAACCTTTTACCTTTTACTTCAATAGAGATCGGCATTTCCAAAGCTGAAATTATCCAAATTATTCTAGTGAAGGTGTATGGAGTTTTCTGTTTGAGAGAAGAACTCAGCCTCAATGTGCAGGATTTGTGTGTTAAACATGTGAATGAAACAAAACACAACTCCAGGTCTGTTTTTGTTGTGGAAACAACATTATAATAGACAGAAAATAAGATGGGCCTTAAACACACTCCTTTATATTTACCTCCTCTGCAGTAAACTGTATTAAGTCTATCCAATCTATTCTTAGTGGACCAAGCCTTGCTCTCCTCTCCTCCCGTCTTCTTTCCCTTTAAATGTGCTATAGGGGTCAGCAGCTTTCCTTCTCAGCTCCAAAGTGTGTCCTGATTGGCTTATTATGGCCCCATCATATTCATGGCATTTTCAAAAGAAGCAGAGGCCATTTTAAAGCTCTCCATTCAAGCAGCAGAGAAGAGACCAGCGGTGTGCCCCCTTATGCAATAAAGCTATACACGACGAAGCGAAATTAAATCTGTCACAAGTGCGAGAAAGGGAGCTGTATTTTGATGTACAGGTGTGGTAAGAAGGAAAGACCGACAGTAATTGTACTTCAGCCTGAGTGGTATTAAATATAGTAAATGCAGGAATCTGATACGCAAAACTAAATATCTTTTGTCTGCATGTTTAGGCTGAGTTCTTTGCTCAAATTGAAAATAGCCCGTGTTCCACCTTGTGATGTCTTGTGGTGATAAATGAAGTGCTCCACTGTGTTTTTAAACTCCATATACCTTCGATAGAATCATTTGGATGATTTCAGACCTGGAATTGCCAATCTTTACTGAACAAAAGGTAAAAGGAGCTGTTAACTTGAAAACTACTGCTTCATGACATCACAAGGTGGAAGGGAGCATTCTAAAGGTGCACTGTGTAACTTTTCTGGTGGAGGGTCTGCCACCTGCTTGTCTCCATGGAGATGTTATAGTTTTGTCTGGAATGGGGTGTGCAAATATATCAAAATATCGATATATCGTGTCATTTAATGTGCAGATACAGTATCGATATCGTGGGCTGCTGTATTGATATATCGCTGTCAGATTTTTATGGATATTTTTACTAAATTGATTTGTGTAAGAGCTGCAGTTGTGTTGATATTGTCACTGTTTTGAGTAAAATGGGTGTCTTTCACATTCACTTTGCACAAACTTAGTGGATGTAGTGGACTTTTAGTAGGCTGATTCATCAGCTGGTTTCACTTCATAGAAACTGTCTGACCTCGCAGCATTAAAATTCGTTCGCTCGATGGTAGGTGGGTACTTATTTAACCAGTCGCTGCTATTTGGTTGTGACGTATGCAATGTGCCTCTAACGGGGCTAACAGGTATATTAAGCTTTTCCCATATCCTGTAGGAAGAAGGACAATAACATCTTTCCCCTTGATAAAATTTACCAAACCTTCTCTTTGTTCCGGCTTTAAATCCTTGATCTTAGGAATCGTTGCCAACACAGAATGTATGGCTCTTTGCTGATTGGCTGGTGCCCGAACTTGCATTTCTGGGGTTTTTGCGAACCGTCTAGTGTATTTCGATTCCTGATCTAGTCGCTGGAGAGAAATGAAATTGAGCGGAGGCACTAGGTGGCGCCAGCCTGGATAGACTTTTAATATTTAGAGCCATCATTTAGCCGTTTTTACACAGAATCGTATCAAATCGATGTGAAATATATTGTATCGAATTGTATTGAACTGTATCGAAAAGCGTATCGTTTCGTGGCCTAGGTATCAAGATATGTATCGTATCGGCAACTCCTTAATGACACCCAGCCCTAGTCTGAAATATCCTGGCATGGCATTAAACATATCCAATTTGCATTTACTCAATAACATGGGTATGCATTGACCTAAAAATTAGCGTTCTTCATTCACTGGGCTCACCTCTCCACAGTTCTGACATGTAACTTGACCCTGTGGTGTCTCTGTTGAGATAAATAAGGGTAATGCCATACTGTTCAACATTCCTTTTTCCATGGAGAGAAGCAGGTGATGGACCCTGCAACAGAAAAGTTACAAGGTGCACCTTTAAAGCTCACAAGAGTCAATTTAGCGTAATATGAGACCTTTAATATAGTTTTTATCATTATGGGTAATGTTACAGTCCTCATAGTTGTATATTTTTGAATGAACAACAGTGAGCAGGAAATAAGGTGGCTACGTAAGAGGTTTTAACGAGCAGACTGTCTTCTTACATAACACTTTTGGTGCCACATTGAGACAGGAGCTGACGGAAATGACAAGGAAGTATCAACAAATCATTCGCTGAGCCACAACGGAGACACTTTTTACAACTACTTTTACACCTCCATCTGAAAAGTGACAAAGATATTTCACAGTGCAGCAGTCCCTTTAGGCAAATCGGTATAGTTTAGCTGTTAAAAAAGTATGAGAGTTAAGATAAAGTTGATTGACCAGATGCCCTTTCTTTTGAATTCAAACGCCTCCTTTTCACAGCAACCTTTACACCTGCATGAGAGAAGAAAAAAACAACAACTATAAACCGTTTAAGCAAATAACCCAAGCTAAATATGCAGGGTTTGTGTGTTAAATGTGTCAATGAAACAAAACACCAGGTATGTTTGTGATGAAGAAACAACATGAGATCAGAAAATAGTGTAATATAGGCTCCTTAAGCTATTCTTTGCCCCTGATTCAATTTTCTCCCATTTTTCTTATCATGGCAACAGAGTGGTGGGCTGCTCAAGTGGCTGCCTGACTCACACTGCGCGGTCTTTGAGGCCTTTTGGTTTTTGAGTGATAAAATAAATATATCTCAACTGCACAAGGTTCCCTGTTGTATAGAAATTCACTGTTTTGAAAGAATATTTGACAGAAAGGCAGTATTCATGATTTAGATCTTATGTTAGACTTGGGCAGGGGTCTCCAACCTTTTTCCTCCGGTCAGCTACCTTTACAAAACTAAAATGCCGGAGAGCTACTCATTTTAGCAGCTGCAAAAACTGAGATGATTATAAGAAAGAAGGCAAGACTTTGGGTACAGTTAGATGCCTATGAAACATAAACCACTGTGCAATTATTAGTGCGAAAAGTTGGGCTTCAGAATTATACATATACAATAGTAATAGGCATGTAATTAACCACATTTTTGTTATAAAAAAAAAAAGAAAGTAAAAGTATTATTTTCTTTTCTTTTCTCTTTTCTCTCTATATATTTATTTACTAAATGTACTTATTACTTTATTTTTATTCTTATTATTATTAATTAAAAAATAAATCTATTTTATTTTATTAGTGTTATTATTAGGAGTGTAACGATATCCAAGTCTCATGAAACGATATTGTCATGGTATGAACCTCATGGTATGATATTTATTGCGATATCATGGGAAAACTCATGACATGGTGGGGAGGCTCACGATTAGGGATGTAACAATATCCAAATCTCTCAGTATGATATTGTCATGATATACATCTCATGGTACGGTATTTATTTCAATATTTTGTGGAGACTAAACAGCTAAAACTGTTAATTTGCTACTTTTTCTCTTAAAATGCCTTAACAAGACTTAATCCAAAGAACTAAGACTTAAAAGTGCTTAGAACTGTTATTTCTTTATGTAGTCTACACTGAACTGGAGCAAAGGATCATGGTCTATGTAGTTCGATGTAGTTCCCTCTGTCCATAACTATTCATTTAAGCAAAGAAACTTTCTCGATATATTGTGATGGTCCACGAGGGGGGGGGGGAAGTCCCATCTGCTATATGTGCACAAAAATATGTTATTCATCAGCACAATGATATAATTTCGAAATCCTCTGGTGAGTTAATTTGAAGGGGGTGGCGAGCTCCTGGTAGCTCCTGAGCTACAGGTTGGAGATCTCTGGACTTGTGTTTGTCTTGGTTTAGTTTCTGTAAAATCTTTACTTTTGCAGTTTGACTAGAAAATTAAGGCATCTTTTACTTTAATTTAACAGATATTATTGTGCCAACAAAAATGTTCTTGTCAACTTTGAGCCATGTTACAATGCTGTTACCTCGTTGAAATCATACCCAAAGTTGTGTTTTGTTTCATACACACATGTTTGAGTAACTCTTTATTATTAGTCTGTCTACATCTCCATAATTCTCTGTCCCACCTTGTGATGTCATGAAGTGCCTCCCTTTTATTCAGTAGAGATTGGCAATTCCAGGGCTGAAATTATCCAGTTGGCTCTAGTGAAGGTGTATGGAGTTTAAAAACACATTGGAGCACCTCCTGTATATTACCACATGACATCACAATGTGGAACAGAGTGTTTTCTGTTTGAGAGAAGAACTCAATGAAACAAAAATGAAACAAAACCCAATTCCAGATACGATTTGGATGAGGAAACAACATCATAACAGATCATAAAATAGCGTAATATGGGCCCTTTAAAACATGGCACTAAGTATTAGTTAGTGAATATTGTATGTTTTTCTCATTTCTTTTACATTAAATTTTCTTTTTTTTTCTTCCACAGTACGTTGAAGCCATCAGTAACAAGCAGAGCGAGCTGGATAACTACATCGCCGAGGGATACAAGAACGCGCTGTCCGAGGAGAGGAGGAGGTACTGCTTCCTGGTTGACCGTCAGTGTGCTCTCGCCAAAAACACCACCACCTTCCACGGCAAGGTAAGACCCAACTGTGGTCTACATGAATTAAAGTTGCATTGTGTAACTTTTCTGGTGGTATGACATTAAACAGATCTCCTTTACATTTATTCAATTACAGATGGGTTTATAGCTTAATAATACCTAGAAAAACAGGTATTCTGACTGGGAGCGGGGTTGCCTCTCCACAGATCTGAAGTTGCTTTATGGAACCTTTCTGGGGGATCTTTCACTCCATAGAGATGATATCGCTTTTCTTCAGCATTTAAATGATCTATCTGCATACTAGTTCTTGGTATGACATTAAACACATCTATCTAGGACAGGGGCCACCAACCTTTTTGAAACTGAGAGCTACTTCATGGGCACCGAGTCATACGAAGGGCTCCCAGTTTGATACGCTCTTCTGAAATAACACATTTGCTCAGTTTGCCTTTATTGCCATTGTTAATAATGATTAATGGTGATCATCTATGTGAAGACACTGATCACGTTAATGATTTCTCACAATAATTATTAACAATGACAGCAAGGTGGGAAAAAGAGATCAGTATTCAGCACTTTTAACTTTATTCATCTCAGTAACGGTTACATTTTCAAGTACAGTGTTAAGAATTTTAATCATTGCTTCTCTGAGTGTGTTTACATGCACATCAGTGTCCCGCTTGCAGTGTTGGGAAGGTTATTTTTAAAATGTATTCCCCTACAGATTACAGATTACATAATTCAAAATGTAGTTTGTAACGGAATCCATTAAATTACTTAAAGTGAGTAACGTAATCTGAATACTTTGGATTACTTGATTTGCTGTAGAGAAGCAAAGACTACGATACTTAACCGTATTAAAAATATTATTGATAGAAGAGGAGGAGACACGTCCGCGCAGCATGGTTTAGTCCTGTTAAATCCTGTTTTAGTCCTGGTTTAGACCTGGTTTAGATCTAGTTTAGACCTGGTTGAGACCTGGTTTAGTCCTGGTTTAGACCTGGTTTAGATCTAGTTTAGACCTGGTTTTAGTCCTGGTTTAGATCTAGTTTAGTCCTGGTTTAGACCTGGTTTTAGTCCTGGTTTAGTCCTGGTTTAGACCTGGTTTAGACCTGGTTTTAGTCCTGGTTTAGTCCTGGTTTAGACCTGGTTTTAGTCCTGGTTTAGTTTCCAACAATGAGTGGAATTACCGAGGAAAAAAAAAAAAAAAAAAAGTGAAAACAGGAAAATACCGCCGTGTAATCCATTTATTTCAACCAAGTAACTGTAATCCAATTACCACTCACTGAAACAGTAACTGTAACTGAATACAGTTACTCATAAATTGTACTCTGATTACGTAACTCCGGTACATGTAATCTGTTACTCCCCAACACTGCCCGCTTATAAATGCACTATCCCGGTTTATTGACATAATCTTACAAATGTGCAAGTGCAAAAATTATATATTTAATAAACCAGGAAAAATACAAACAACCATGAGCTCCTTTAGCAGAGGAAGTGGAGGAGGTTTCTAACCATCGGACACTGCACAGATCTACGTTTCCAAACACTATTGTACAAGTTCTACACTGCAGCAAATACTTAATAAAAATCTTCTGCGTAAACAAACTCAACTTACTCAACCTACAACATATAAACCGTAACCACTCTAGAGCCACATCAGCCCATTTGACATTATAATGTGTTTAATGCAGCTTTGGCACATTTGTTTACATTTTACAGAAACAAAACTTAAAACCGCATGGCTAATTTGCATATCGCTTATCTAAACTTTATGTATAATGAACATGTTTTTAAGATATTGTCATTTTTAAATCTATATAAATGCAAGGGTGATTAAAAAAACAATGTGGTGGTAACCCCTGATCTAGGATTTATTCATCCCGGGTGTTTCTGTTTCTCAAAAGTACAATTATTTTCTCTGTGAATAGGCAAGGCAAGGCAAGTTTATTTGTATAGCACAATTCGTACACAAAGTAATTCAAAGTGCTTCACAGAATAAGAAATACATTAAAATCATAATAAAAACAAATCAAAACATAAATAATCATGAAGATTAAAATTTAAAAAAGAGAAACATAAATTGGAGAGAAAAGTGCGGAATGAAAACCTTTCAGTCATATGCACAGTTCAACAGAAATGTTTTGAGCCTGGATTTAAACAGCGTCACAGAAGTCTGTCTCACATGTTCAGGAAGACTGTTCCAGGTTTTAGCTGCATGAACCTGAAACGCTGACTGAATAGGGTTGCCTCTCCACAGATCTGACCTGTAATGTAGCCTCTAGTTGTCTCCCTTTCACATAAATAGGTTTAATCTCTCAATAATATCTCCATTGAGAAAAGCATTTGATAGATTATCACTTTGTCTGAAATGTTTCACAGTATGGTATTAAATCTTTCTATCGCCATGGACAAGTTACATGTCAAATCTGTGGAGAGGCGACCCCACTCCCAGTCAGAATGCTTGTTTTTCGAGGTATTTTTGAGCTATAAACCCACATGTAAATGAATAAATGTAAGGTAAAGCTGTTTAATGTCATACAGAGCAATGACATATCCATAGAAACAAGCAGGTGACAGACCCTCTACTAAAAAAAAAGTGACACAGCGTACATTTAATCAGTTCTGAATTCGATGTTAGTATGTCATTTATAGTTATTTGGACTTTTTTGGTTGGATTTTGTCTGGCCGGACTCCCATTGATGAGAGGCTGACAGTGGATGTGTGTGGGGAGGGGGAGAGGTGACCTACTTCTGCAGGAACACTGAGTTCAGATGGAGCGAGTGGGAGTGAGTGAAGCACCACTGACAGACACCAACCGCCACTAAAACACGCCAACAGCAGGAAGTTATACAATGCAGCCACGACATCACTTCCTGTCCTGCTTTTAACAGCTGCTGCTGATCAAGAAAAGTTCATTCATGGCAGATTGATGGTTTTTAGTAAATTCTAGAGCGGATATGAAAGAGAAGAAATATCACTTGGCTCCCATTACGACTAAGACTTACCTCTATGCAGTTTGAGCAGTAGTAGTACTAGTACTAGTACTAGTAGTTGTAGTAGTTGTTGTAGTTGTAGTTGTAGTAGCAGTAGCAGTAGTAGTAGTAGGAATAGTAGTAGCAGTAGTAGTAGTAGGAATAGTAGTAGCAGTAGTAGTAGTAGGAATACAAGTAGTAGTTATAATTGTAGTTATAGCAGCAGTAGGAGGAGGAGTAGGAGTAGGAGTAGAAGTAGTAGAAGTAGTAGGAGGAGTAGGAGGAGTAGGAGGAGTAGTAGGAGGAGTAGGAGTAGTAGGAGTAATAGTAGTAGTAGTTATAATAGTACTTATAGTGGCAGTGACAGTAGTAGGAGTAGCAGTAGTAGTGGCAGTAGTACTGGTAGTAATAGTGGCAGTAGTAGTAGCAGTAGTAGTAGTAGTAGTAGTGGTGGCAGTAGTAATACTGGTAGTAGTAGTAGTCGTAGTCGTAGCGGCAGCAGTAGTAGTAGTAGTAGTAGTAGTAGTAGCAGCAGTAGCAGTAGCAGTAGCAGCAGTAGTAGCAGTAGCAGTAGTAGCAGTAGCAGTAGCAGTAGCAGTAGCAGCAGTAGCAGCAGTAGCAGTAGCAGCAGTAGCAGCAGTAGCAGTAGTAGCAGTAGTAGCAGCAAGTAGCAGTAGTAGCAGTAGCAGCAGTAGTAGCAGTAGCAGTAGTAGCAGTAGCAGCAGTAGCAGTAGTAGTAGTAGTAGAAGTAGTAGTAGGAGAAGGACAAGGTGGAGTTTTATTCATATGTTTTACTGTATTATAAAATTTCAACATACAACCATAGTACAGATTTAAAACTGCACAACTTTTTCTGATGGGGGGTCTGATACCTGCTTGTCTCCATGGAGACGTTATTGCTCCACCTGGAATGTTCCATGGTGTGACATTAAAAATAAAATAATTCCTTCTGTGAATAAGGGCAACTCTCCACAGATCTGACCTATAATGTAGCGTAGTGCTGTAACCTGCTTGTCTCCCTCATGATAGACAGGTTTAATCTATACTGTGGAACATTCTAGACAAAACAGTAACATTTCCATGGAGACAGTTAAGTGGCTGACCCTCCACTACAAATGTTCCACAGAAAACAGTTTTGCTTAGTTGTTTATTCCTCGAAACTGTACTTTGACCTGAGGATCGCGACTGCATCACCTGATATTTGAAAATGCCATTTAAAATTGCTGCTGTCAACAAGTTTTAATTGACCGAAGACGATCTTTCATCTTCATCATTTTCCTCATTGACTTTCATTTTAAAATAATCACTCTTTTTGCACAAACTGAGCTGACCTTGATTTACCCCTGAACTCCGAGGCCGAGCAACTGCACAACAACTCACTGTTTTTAAATAACTGCTCTTTTACCGGGGGCGGTAGTAGTAGTAGTAGTAGTTGTAGTTGTCGTAGTAGTGGTTGTAGGAGTAGTTGTAGTAGTAGTGCTAGTGGTAGTAGTAATAGTTGTAGTAGTTGTAGTAGTGGTAGCAGTAATAGTAGTAGTGGTTGTAGTAGTAGTTGTAGTAGTAGTGGTAGTGGTAGTGGTGGTAGTCGCAGTGTTAGTAGTAATAGTTGTAGTAGTTGTAGTAGTTGTAGTGGTGGTAGTAGTAATAGTTGTAGTAGTAGTAGTGGCAGTAGTAGTGGTAGTAGTAGTAGTAGCAGCAGTAGCAGCAGTAGTTGCAGAAGCAGTAGTAGTGGTAGTAGCAGTAGTAGTAGTTGTTCTAGTAGTAGTAGTAGTGGCAGTAGTAGTGGTGGTGATAGTAATAGTGGCTGTAGTGGTAGTAGTAGTGGCAGTAGTAGTACTGATAGTAATAGTGGCAGTAGTAGTAGTGGTAGTAGTAGTGGCATAGTAAAAGTAGTAGCACTAGTAGCAGTGGCAGTAGTAATATTGGTGGTAGTAGTAGTAGTAGTAGTAGTAGTAGTAGTAGTAGTAGTAGTAGTAGTAGTAGTAGTCTTCAACTTTATTTCTATAGCACATTTTATAAACAGTTTCCAAATATAACATTAAATTAATAAATTTAACTTTTTTGGGGGAGGATCTGTCACCCGCTTGTATCCATGGAGCTGTTATTGCTTTGCATGGAATTTTCCACAGTATGGCATTAAACAGCTCTACCTTACATGTATTCAATTACATCTGGTTTTGTAGCTCATAAATACCTATAAAAACAGGCATTCTGACTGTGAGCGGGGTTGCTTCTCCACAGATCTGACCTGTAACTTGGTCTGGTTTGGTCTCCGTGAAGATAGAAAGGTTTAATGCCATACCGCGAAACATTCCGGACAAAGCAATACAAGCTTCACGGAGAAAAGCATATGACGAACTCTCCACCAGAAAAGATACAAATGCACCTTTAAATTACTTTGGAAACTGCAGTGTTTATAAAATATGTTGTAGAAATAAAATTCGGATTTAAATAAAATAAATCAAAAACAAAATAACCTCTTGCTCTCTGTTCTCACATAACCCTGATTGAAATAGTCCCCTCTGTTTCTCTGCGGTCCAGGGTAAGGAGCTGTTGTCGCAGAAGCTCCCCATGTGGCAGCAGGCGTGTGCGGAGCCAAACAAGCTGCCGGACCGTGCCATGTTCCTGGCCCAGCAGATGAGCGGAGCCTTGCCCATCTCAGAGCCTCTCCCTGGGGCCAAAGCTCTGCCCCTGCCCCCGGAGCTGGCTGCCCTCAGAGCCGGAGGAGCCATGAGCCAACAGGTTAGAGCTGTTCACACTTTACAGCTGGTGTCGTCAATATTCCCTCTAGGTCTGATGCTAACTGTAGGCACTGCTCTGTTTGAGGCTTTATTAGACTTTAATCTGAGTAGCAGTAGTAGTAGTAGTGTAGTAGTAGTAGTAGTAGTAGCAATAGTAATAGTAGTAACAATAGTAGTAGTAGTAGTGGTAGTGGTAGTAGTAGTGGTAGTGGTAGTGGTAGTAGTAGTAGTAGTAGTAGTAGTAGTAGTAGTAGTAGTAGTAGTAGTAGTAGTAGTAGTAGTAGTAGTAGTAGTAGTAGTAGTAGTAGTAGTAGTAGTAGTAGTAGTAGTAGTAGTAGTAGTGTAGTAGTAGTAGTAGTAGTAGTAGTAGTAGTAGTAGTAGTAGCAGTAGCAGTAGTAGTAGTAGTAGTAGTAGTAGTGGCAGTAGTGGCAGTAGTAGTAATAGTAGTGACAGTAGTAGTGGTAATAGTAGTGGTAGTAGTGGTAGTAGTAGTAGTAGTAGTAGTAGTAGTGGTAGTAGTGGTGGTAGTAGTAATAGCAGTAGTAGTAGCGGTAGTAGTAGTAGTAGTGGCAGTAGTAGTGGCAGTTGTAGTAGTAGCAGTAGTAGTTATAGTGGTAGTGGCAATAGCAGTACTAGTAGTAGTAGTTCTCATAGTTGTAGTAGGAGTAGGAGTATTAGCAGTAATAGTTATAGTAGTAGTGGTAGTAGTAATTGTAATAATAGTAGAAGTAGTAGAAAAAGGTCTAATATAATTTAGTTCAATTTATTTATGAATCAGATGTTGGTGTGTCAGCATCTACATCACTCAGGTAAAAATATAATACTCTATAGTCCTAGTACTTCAATTACTCCAAGCATTTTACTCTGCCAAATAGATATTGTATACTTGGATGTCAAAGCCTGTCTGAAATATTCTATCCCATCATTAACAGTCCTCAAAATGGCGCCTGTAACTGAAGTTGAAAACCACAGACAGGCTAGGTTCTCATTTGATGTATTAGATTTCAGATTTTTTTCATTTTGTCACACATTTTTCGTCTTCTCCTCTCGCTGTCCCAGAGGTTTTGTTTGTTCCTGTTTTATCCAAACATACACGTTCAATTAATCATTTTCTCCTGACCTACTTCCTGTTTCGACCTGGTTACCGCGGCGAAGCAGAGTCTTATGTAACAGCTGTGAATGCGCAGATTTTCAGCCCATTAATTGGCAGCTAATGTATAATTATTATTAACTTCAAAACTCACTGCTCTGCCATATCTGTGACATACACAACACAGCAAAATAAAGACGAAACAGGGACTAAATCCACAAGTAAACCAGGACTAGAACAGGACCAAACCAAGTCGAGATCAGGACCTAACTGGGCCAAACCAAGTGTGAACCCATCTTAAAAGTTACTATCCATAGAAATAGCTGTACTCTGATTTGAAAAGCAAAACTATATTGCAGAAAAATCACCATTACACTTCAGTATGTAACTTTTTAGCCAAAACATAGACTAAAATTAAGTTTTGTTTGTTTTTATTGCATTGAAAACCATGTGTCTTTACACTGAGAGGGCTTGCATCTCCACAAACCTGACTCATTTTTGATCAGGAAGAAGGACCCTTTCCTGTTTGTTTCCAAGGAAACCTTATTCCTTTGGCTATTATTCCACATTATGGCATTAAAATATGGTATAAGAATGGACCAGGGTTGAAGTTCTACCAACAGAAAGTTACACAAACAAAATATTGACTTAGGAACTTTAAAATATACAGTTTTTATGTTACACAAAATGGTTCTTATGAGCTTTAAGCCACATTATAATGCTGTTACCTCCTCAAAAACATACATGAAATTGTGTTTTGTTTCATTCACACTTATTTTAATAACCCTTTATTGTTAGTCTGTCTACAACTCCAAAGTTTAAAATGGTCTGTTCCACCTTGTGATGTCATGAACACAGACTGTATAAAAGAAGTGGACTAAGCGAGTGTGACATCACCCATAGTGTTCAGCGTCGCTCAAATGAGGCTCGTGATACTAAGGGTTATAGGAGCGAATCTGGAGCCAGGCTCTGTGTTATGAATGGGATTTTTTTTGACAGAAAAAATAGCAAAAAAAAAAAATCTGGTTCATGTAGAGCGTGATAATATGAACATTTTAAAACCAAAATGACGAGGCTCACTGCAGCAGTTACATCGAGCGAGGTGACAAGATCCTTATGTAAGTTAATTGGAGCCAGATTCAGAAGGAACCGGAAGAGCCTCCTGGCAAACTTCCTAGTTGGCACGCGGCGGCTACAGCATTAGTTAAGTCCGCTCATATATACGGGCTATGGTCATATCGCAGTAGTTTTCAGGTTAAGAACTACATTTTATCTTTATTTCAAAAGAGATTAACAATTCCAGGGCTGAAATGATCCAAATGATTCTAGCGAAGGAGTATGAAGTTGTTACTGAGAACAGACTATGGAGCACTTTCTGTATTACCACATGACATCACAAGATGGAACTCAGCCTAAATATGCAGGATTTATGTGTTAAACACGTGTGAACGAAACAAAACACAATTCCGGGTATGTTTTTGATGAGAAAACAACATTATAACATCGATCAGAGAAAAGCCTAATATGGGCGTTTTAACTTCACCACGTAGAGTCACTTTGTTATTATATGTTTTAATTGTACATCTTGTTTCTGTCGCAGATGCCGGTGATGAACGGGGCTCACGCTGCAGACGATTATCAGCAGTGGATGGAGTCTAAAGTGTCTCAGGGCAAAGCGTCGCCCCAAACCCACAGACACGAGGTTTACTCCAACACTCTGCCCGTACGCAAGGCTGCTCCTCAGAAGAGCAAGACCGCGCAGAGTAAGTTCAGTTAAGCACAGTAAGTTAGTTCATTAAAACTGAATTCACACGCGTATATAAAAACACAATATAATATGCATTGTGTAACTTCTCTGGTGGAGGATCCGTCACCTGCTTGTTTTTTTCCCTTTTGTTACACAGTGGAGACGCGCACGCTGCCTCGCTCCAGCTCGATGGCGGCGGGTCTGGAGAGGAACGGACGTACCCGGGTTCAGGCGGTCTTCTCCCACGCGGCCGGAGACAACAGCACCCTCCTGAGCTTCTCCGAGGGCGACGTCATCACCCTCTTAGTGCCCGAGGCCAGGGACGGGTGGCACTACGGGGAGAGCGAGAAGACGAGAATGTGAGTCAGTTACAACACAAAACAAGACTGAGGAGTTGTCAAAAGATCTATATCCAGATACTAATCAATACCATTATGAAAACTAGGTACTCAATATCATGATCAATTATAGCTGCACCCCGTCTGTATTGAGTAATATTGACTTATTGTTGACCTTTTCAATGCTGTGATGTCATCTGAAACCCGACCGCTGTGTTTTAATTATGATTGTTGTGTTGAAATATATTGAGCCTTTCCTTAAAAGGCCTGTATAGGCTCTATTCGCGCTTACGTCACAAACCAGGAAGACATTTGGAAACATGCGATGACAACTTCCAACTCCCAACACTGGGCTCACCAACTGACTGTGAAAAAACCCATTGAAATAAATGTAATCAGCGGTAAAATGAAGACTGTGCTGTTTGGAATCATCTTGAATTTGGTGCCCTCATGTCTTCTAATTTCATGTACCCAGTGTGCTTGGAGTTATGTGTCAGTGGGGAAATTATGAAGAAAGATGAAGAAAACTAGGCCTTTTTCTCATTTTTCCTAGAACAGAGCCCACCGGCAGTTGTAATCGCATCTTTCCAAACGTCTTCCTGGTTTGTGACGTAAGCGTGAATAGAGCCTATTACACTGTTTTTTGATCTATTTTACAATGTTGTTTCCTCATCGCAAACATAGTTGGAATTGTGTTTTGTTTCATTTACATATAACACATAAACCTTGCATATTTAGGCTCTCGTACAGCTTCACTAGTGTCATGGTCATTGGTAAAAAATCATAACAATGTTAAAAACAACTACTATCCATTGGTTAATACAATGAAGACTTCAATTCAGTTCAAGTTTATTTTTTAGCACATTTAAAACAACTTCAGCTGTCCAAAGTGCCTCACACAAGTCAACAAAACAGAAGAAACAGTTGCACACATATACAGATAATATGTGAAAACTACAATAAAAAGAGATACAAAAGATAACATGACTAGCCCGTACTAAATGCCAGGAAGAAGAGGTGAGTTTTCAGTCTAGTCTTAAACTGCGTTACAGACTGAGAGGATCTGACGGGAAGAGAAAGGTTGTTTCGCAGTCTGGTTGCTGCCACAGAAAAAGCCTCTGTCACCTCTCGTCTTGAGTCTGGTTTTGGGCACGACCAACAGGAGCTGGTCATCTGATCTCAGGGCTCTGGGTGGAGTACAGGGCTGCAGTAACACCCTCAAATAGACTGGACCCATACAGTGCAAAGAGTTGAAAACAATTATGACTTGCCGAATTACATTTACAATATCTCAACACGATCACTGAATGTTGAGTAAAACTTATTGTATCCTCTTCAGGCGTGGCTGGTTCCCGTTCTCCTACACTCGAGTCATTACTGAGGCAGAGGCCGATTCCATGAGGCATCTCAGAGTTCACAAGTGAGTATTAAATTCATATTAACTTGACTTACTTACAATTCATGGAGATGTTATTGCTTCTGCTGGAATATTTCACAGTGTGGTATTAAACTTTTCCATCTTCACGGTGACCAAACCAAACCAAGTTACAGGACAGATCTGTGGAGAGACAACCAGACTCCCTGTCAAAATGCCTCTTTTTCTGCTAGGTATTTTTGAGCAATAAAACCACCTATAACTGAATAAATGTAAGGTAGAGCTGTTTATTGTCATACTGTGGAACGTTCCGGGCAGAGCAATGACATATCCATAAAAACAAGCAGGCGACGGACCCCCGGCGAAAAAGTCTTATAGATTAAACGTTGTGTTGTTTTCAGTTTGCACCACGGTAAAAGCAGCAGCACTGGGAACCTCCTGGAGAGAGAGGAGGTGGCACTGCCCGCTCCAGACTACACGCTCCGGATGTCCTCCCAGACTCTGCACAGACACAGGCCCTACAGCGTGGCCGGACCAGGCTTCTCACAGGTCAGGACCACACACAAAAACATAACAAGGACAGAGTTTTTCAATGAGATGTGCAGTTTTTAGTCTATACAATTTATGGGTTTGATTTTCTGAAATGAGTGACAAAAATATTTATTTACTTTTTAGATGCCTGTAGGATAACATATGTATACCGTATTTTCCGCACTATTAGGCGCTCTGGATTATAAGGCGCGCTGTCATTAAATGGTCTATTTTTTTACTTTTTTCACAAATAAACCGCACCGGACTTTAAAGGAAACACAACAGTTGGATGGGTCAGTGGGACTTTGTTTGTCGTGTTGACGGTGACTCTGGGCTTTGTTCAGTTGTGGCGTGTAGGGAGGGTGCTGTCTGGGACCGCTGGATTGTCGGCGTGTTCGCAGTGACTCAGTTGTTCAGTTGTGTCTAGAAGTGGCACATTGGACTCGCTTTTTCGGTTCTTTCCTTCGTTCCGTTCCTTGTTTCGTTTGGAGTGATGAGTTTGGCTCTGGGTGTTTTTCGCTGTGTGGTCGCTGTCTGCTCCGTGTGTGTTTGCATGTTCTGCGGTTGGTGCGGCTTTGTAGTTTACTGAAGTCGTGCTGGGACACCCGAGTGGATTTGTGTATGGGGCGCTCTGGATTGTGGCGCGCGTTCGTTTTTTGATGGGGTTGGAAGCTTATGAGCACGCCTTATAGCAGGAGTGTCAAACTAATTTTGATCTGGGGGCCATATCGAACCTACTTTGATCCCAAAGGGGTCGGACCAGAAAACTCTTGTCATATAAACCCCAAAAATAACAATAAGTTCAAATATTTATGCAGAGAAACACAAATCTATTACAGAAATCTTTTTTAATTGATGAACTCTTTCTTTTACAAAATATTATAATATTATGAACAACCTGAAACTTTAAGTCAATTTTTCTTGGAAAATCCTGCACTCGGCTCCACTTTTCTCATGTTGGACATTTTTCTGATGAGGGTGTCACGGTCAACAGTCAAAACGATCGTCCTTTAAGAGCGTTTGGAAAGAGACAAGTCTTCATTTGTGCTGCTCTGGTGGGAGGGGCCACGTACAGAGGAGAGATGCTGCTGTGATAAACACAACAGAAAATTAACAAGATTTTAATAGAAAATATAATTAAAATATTTTAGTAGAAAATCAGGCGAGGGCCAGATTAAAGGTCTTGGAGGGCCGGATCTGGCCCCCAGGCCATATGTTTGACACCTGTGCCCTATAGCTTGGAAAATACTGTACTATATTTACTGGTAGTTTGGTGGTACTGTATATTAAGAGTAAAATTGAACTGAATTTTTTACAGAGTGATACTTTGTCATCAGTATTTCCTGGGGGTGTGATGCTAACTGTAAGCACTGCCCTGTCTAAAGCCCTGTTACTCAAATTAGACTTTAATCTAAGCCAGACATGTCAAACTCAGGCCCGGGGACCAAATTTGGCCCGCGATATAATTATATTTGACCCGCGAGATCATATCAAATATGTATTAGAGCTGCCCGCTGACTACAGATAGACTATAGAGACAGTATTTATTTAAAATTGTATTATTATTTTATATTTTGCTTGTTCTGGATTAAATGTTTAAACAAAACTATTATTTAACCTTTATTTTATTAAGAAAAGGTTTAACATTACATGTCTTGAACTAAGAGAAAACATGCAAATGTTGTTGAAATTTTTCTGTAAATATTAAATAGTTTGGCCCACGACTTAGTCCCAATTTTTTATTTCGGCCCTCTGTGAATTTGAGTTTGACACCCCTGTCCTAAGATTTAATTTAACACGATCTGACCAGAAAGAACTGATTAGTGCTGTTAAATAAGTCTCTAGTCTGACACATGAAATTACAGTCACAGCCTAACTAGCATCAGCCAATAGTTTTCCAGTCAGTAATTATCCTGGTATTGTTCTACTGGGAAATTTTGGGTTATTTTTCTGTTCTACTGTCAGATTTGAGCTGTAGGAGGCTGAATTACGAATTGAATTATGACTCATTATGGACATAAACTAGCTACTTATGTGTTTATTCAGTTATTTATTTTTGCAGGTAATATTTTTTGTACATTTAGAATACTTTTGGAGGGATAATTCTGCTTTATGGTTTGGTTTTAGTTGATACTTTGCAACTGATTATATTGACGTTCCCTGGGGGTGTGAAGCTAACCGTGGACACTGCTCTGTCTGAAGCTCTGTTACTCAAATTTGACTTTAATCTGAGCTTTATTTCAGCACAATCTGACGAGAAAGAGCATTTTATATTTTTCTAGAGTTTTCAATCAAACTTAAACCTTTTTGATCATGGACTTTCCACCATTAGAGATACATATGAATCTGTGTGTCATTCGTTCATTCGTTTTTCAAAATAAAACCAAAAATAAGAAAATGACAAAACAACTATTTTCTTCATTATTTGTCTCCTAAGCCAAAATGAAAAAACAGATAATGATTTGTTTTTTTTCAGTTTTTGATTTTGTGTTGAAATGAAAAGTGGAAACTGACTTAAACTGCGATGCCGAACTTTTGCACCACATAGGGACTGAACCAGGACTGAACCAGGACTTAAACAGGACTACACCAGGTCTAAACCAGGTCTAAACCAGGTCTAAACCAGGTCTAAACCAGGTCTCAGTCGCGGTCTCGTCCCGGTCTCAGTCTTGGTCCCAGTCCAGTCCAGGTCTCAGTCCCAGTTTGGTCCTGGTCTCAGTCCTAATCACCTGATAGTCTACATGGGAGCACCTCTGGGACCGTCCCCACAATCAGTCCTGCTTTAGTCATGGTTCAGTCCATATGCGGCGTAAAAGTGCGGCATCACAGTTTAAGTTTTGGAAACGGGACACGGCCTTAAACACAAAATCAAAAATTTAAAAAACAAATCGTTATCTGTTTTTTCATTTTCGTTTTGGAGACAAATAATGAAGAAAGTAGTTGTTTTTTCATTTTCTTATTTTTGGTTTTATATTGAAAAACTGAATGAACGAATGACACACAGATTCATGTAGAACATGAAGGTCCGCTACCTGCATTGTCTCCATGGAGATGTCATTGCTTTACCTGTTCCATGGTATGACATTAAACATACAGCCTGATTCATCAGCCAGTTTCTCTTCGTAGAAACCGTCTGACCTCACAGCATTAGGATTCGTTCGCTCGACAGTAGGGGGGTACTTTTTTATTTAACTAATCGCTGCTATTTGGTCATATGTAATGCGCCAAATCTCGTAGGAAGAAGGACAATAACATCTTTCCCCTTGATAAAATTCACCAAACATATCTCATCAAAACACTGTATTGAAAACCATATCGTATTGTGGTCTATGTATCGAGGTATGTATTGTATCGGCAACGTCTTAATGATACTCAGCCCTATAGTGCACCTTTGAAGTATTGTTTAATTAACTTTCCAGTATTTTAGGTTAATTTTTATGCAACCTTTTAACCAATATAAGTACAATCTAATCCAAACCTTTATTTATTACCATTTTGTAGTAAGGAACTCACAAAGGAACTGACTAAGCTGCAATGATCGTCACTCATTTCATGTTTCTCTGTCTCCATCTGGTGGCATGTTCTGTAACTGCACATTTCTAAAGTAAAATTCCATTACAGTGAAATATTAGGGATGTAACAATAACCGAAATATCGTGATATCGTATTACAAGTTTCTTTGCCTAAATGCAGATTTTTATAGTAGCAATAGGTAATGAACATTGGGAACTACATATCCCATGATTCATTTCAGCGCAAACAACATGAAGAGATATGTTTTTTACTTGAATTCTTGGGATTATGATGGAAATAATTCACACCAATCTATAATTATATCAACCTCTCCAAAATATTGTACCGAGAGATTTGAATATCGTTACATCCCTATGAAATACAATAAATAAATTAAAGCCAGTTTTTTTCTGAAATTTAAATTGATTGTATGCTTTGTTTTTCTTCAGCAGGGGGTGGAAGAATATGAGCCACGTTTCCCAACAAGGTAAGGACCACGCATAATAATTCTACTAAAAATCTACAAAAAAAATCCCAGTTTAAGTTCAGTCATCATGTGTACATGAGCATTAAATTTTGTTATATACATTTCTCCAATATTTTTGAGTAATTCATTTGAAATAAAACAGAATTGTGAGTTTATAATATAATAAAATAATGATGACGGAACTTAACCTCGTGCCAGTTTTCTATATTCTATTCTATATTATTCTGAATATTGCATGGTACACTATTTTGTCTCTTTTTATTATTATTATTTTTAATTTTACATATATGTTTTGTGGATTTTCGGGATGTTTTTGTACAGGTGTGGTTGCATGTTGGGTTAGTGATGCATGTTAAGTAACTTTTGTTGATTTTGATGTTTTTATTTAAATAGTTTGTTATCAATCTTGCTTTGGCTTGCTTCAGCTTGAACCCATTTTTCATGTTTACACAACTGAAGTGGAGATTTTACCCATATGTATAAAGAGAAATCATATTCTTAAAGGTGCTCTGTGCAACTTTTATTTATTTATAGGTGTTTTTACAATAGAACAATACCTTGAAAACGATGGATTCTACTGTACGTGAGCTCGCCTTTCAACAAATCGGACCTGTAAATTGGCACGGTGCTTGTCTCCGTGGAAAAAGATAAGTTTAAAGTCACTCTGAAAAATTCCAGGTAAAAAAACAACATCTCCTTGGTGGCAGACCCTCCACCCAGAAAGTTACACAGTGCATCTTTAATGTGTACTTTAAAATACTTATATTACAATATTATGAGTAATAGCCATGTAGTATAGTATCAGTATTTGTTGTAGTATTGGTATTATACTCATACTACTGTTGACACTGTGACAATTAAATATATTAATCATTATTATTCTTTATTTTAGGAACAAATATTATTCGGTTCATAGTTTAAAAGCAAAACTGGATACAAAACAACAAACAAAGCACCCAAATTAGTCCATAAAGTTGATTCAAAAAATAATGACATTAATAATTAATTGCGATTTTTGACAATGGAAGGTATTTTTTGGCAGTTTAAACATTAATGTATCAAGATAAATATGTTGTCATTTATTTTTATTAGTTTAATCATAACTACTGTGTAATTTTGACAAGTTTTGACCTTTGTAATCCTTATGGTTGTGAGGTAACAGTTATGAAATTACACCTGCCAACTTGTCCAGTCAGGAAGTAAAATGATAAACTTCATCAAAACAAAACAAAACAAACAATAAATACATAAATAACAAAACAAAAATACTGAAAAGACTAGGCAAGATTTCTAGTAAAAAAAAAAAAATTGATACAGTATAATTATGTTAAAGGGCCCATATTATGCCATTTTCTGATCGATATTATAATGTTGTTTCCTCATCACAAACAGACCTGGAGTTGTGTTTTGTTTCATTCACACGTGTGGCTGAGTTCTTCTCTCGAACGTAAAACACTCCGTTCCACCTGGTGATGTCATGTGGTAATACAGGAAGTGCTCCACTGTGTTTTTAAACTCCCTACACTTTCACTAGAATCATTTGGATGATTTCAGCCCTGGAATTGTCAATCTAAAAGGTTAAATTAACATGAAAACTACCACTACATGACATCACAAGGTGGAACAGAGCATTTTGAGCTTTGGAGATGTAGATAGGTTAATAATAATGGTAATCAAACATGTGTGAATGAAACAAAACACAACTCCAGGTGAGTTTTTGAGGAGGTTAACAACATTTTAACATGTCTCAAAGCTCATAAGAGTGAGTTTTGTGTAATATAGGACCTTTAACTATGTTTTAATGAAATTAGTGGTCTAATCTGCATATGCACTTTAAAATAAATCTCCCTTCAGTGTGTAACTTATTGCTTTTTAACATCTCATTTCATCTTTGTATTTGGTTTGGGTCCTCAATGGGTCTGACTTTGTGAAGATTCGTGAGAACTTTTGCATGATTTCCTCGTCGAATTCGTTTCTGGAAATTCTCGTATTTTGGATTTTTGGAGATTTGCAGCATTTGCCTTTTTTGTCCACAGTACAACAGAGGTCAAACTGATTTCTACAGTGTGAGAAACGAAAGACAAAACTGCAGCTATAAGTCTCAGGACTGGTCTTTCTTTGCGTAGTCCTCTGCGGATTTCCTGGTTCGAATCTCAACCAAAACCGGGAAAAAATGGCGACTCAACGCTTGTTTCAAACTGCCATGTCTGGGAGCACTTTGGCTAGTTTGCGATGCATGTTTATAACTTCCACTGGAAAGCAAAAAGAACGGATGTTGTTGATCCTGGATTTAAACTTTTAACAGTGAATGCAGCTTTTGATAATCTTGACTGAGTGAGTTTATCACTTTAAGCACAATCCAATCTATTATATGTTAGTACTTATTTCTGCAAATTACTACATAATTTCTTGATACTTTGTGGCCGATGTCATCAACATTCCCCGTGGGTGTGATGCTAACTGTAGGCACTGCTCTGTCTGAAGCTCTGTTACTCAAGCTAGACTTTCACCAATCCTGAAATCAAGATGAAAGAAGCCCGACTTGTAGCGAGAGACTTGGGTAATATGAATTTTATCATTGGTAAATGGTATTGATATTTTGCAGGTGACGTCATCAACATTACCTGGGGCTGTGACGCTATCTGAAGGCACTGATCTCAGTTTTATTTTAGCACAATCTGACCATAAAGAACTAGAGGTGTAACGATATCCAAGTGTCATGATATGACATCGTCACGGTATGAACCTCACAGTATGATATTTATTGCGATATTGTGGGAAAGCTCACGATATGGTGGGGAGGCTCACAATTAGACATGAAACAATATCCAAATCTCACAGTACGATATTTAATGCGATATTTTCTAAGCACTTTTAAGTCTTAGGCCCCGTCCACACTAGTCGTTTTCGTTGTGGATACAGTGTTCGTCCACACTAATCAGATGGAAAACGTCTCCAGAGACAGAACGATCTGGTGCCGCCAGCTCCCACAAATTCACCTGAGAACACATCTGATCCAGCACTGTGTGGACACCTGAAAACACTGATATGCAGATACGCTGATGTAGGTCTAGTACCTAATTCACCGCCACAACGCTAAGAGGCTAGAATATATTCATATATACGTCTATGTGTATGACATGCAGATGTATAATCTCTGAAAAGTTTTACATGAACCATCTCCAACGCGATAGAAGCACAGAACAGACTCACCATCAGCAGAACACCCCTCTGTCACAGAAGGAACAGTCATAATCCACTGAATCCTGTCCTTTAGTCCGACAGAAGCTGAACCGCATCAGCACACAATAGCGAGCTGTTTTTTGAGTGCTCTTTTTATGCAAATTAGCCATGTGGTTTTAAGTTTTGTTTCTGTAAAACGTAAACAAATATGCTCAAAGCTGTGTGGATAGGGAAGGATTGCAGACACAGAAACGACTTATGTGGACGCAAATAGTTTCCGATACAGTGATATGCAGATTAGTTTCAGTGTAAACGGGGTCTTAGTTCTTTGGATTATTTCTTCGTGTAGTCTATGTAGTTCGTTTTGGCTTTTTTTAGCTATTGCTACACAAAAAAGGACCGCATAGCACATTCTTTTTATTTTATCGCACACAAATACTACACGTTGGTCCAGATAAATAGTTTGACCTCCAGTACGGCGGCATAAACAACTGGTTACACGCTTTTGTGCCGTAGACGCAAAACCCTAATAGTACTTCAGACAGAGCATGCCTCTAGTTAGCGTCACACCCTCAGAGAATGTGGACAGCATCAGCTGCGAACTATCAATTGGTTTATAATATAGTTTAATAATTTTTGTAGTACCAACATTTTTGCATTATTTTCAACCTCATTTACTCACATTATTTACTGGTAAATTTCACACACACATACACAAAAAATCTGTTTTGTTTTGGGGAAATGATTTAACGTTTAAAGAAAAAATCTAATAAAATACATAGCAAATTCTTTAAAAATTACAGTATTAGTTTTTTGTTTTTGTTTTTTTTAACATACAAATTAATACATAAACAAATATGTCAGTTCATGATTTTTATTAGAATTTTTTTTTTCTCTGCTGATTTTTCCTGTTGAGATCTTGAGTGATTTGCAGAAATGAAAATAGTGGGATTGGGTTGGTTGTATTAATGTATCTATGTGACTGGAATGTTATTTGTACATAAACTTAAACACGTGCCAAACTTGTGCTCGTCTCATAATCTACTCAAATGATAAACGCACTTTCTAACCGTGAATATTATATAATCTATATTTATGTCATGTTTAGGGCCTTCTTTCTGACGTTTATTTCTGAAAACTGTGATTTTCTCTTGTCTGAAAACGAAGGGCAGATGTGCTCAGTTTAATGTCGTCTTTAAAGGAAAATGTTATTTACAATCAAAATAAAACAATTCCTCATTTAGAAATCACATCTCGTCTTGTCTCAGAATCTGTTTATTACTGTTAATCTGTTCGTTAAAGGTGCACTGTGTAACTTTTCTGGTGGAGGGACCGTCACTCTGCTATCCTTTCTATGGATATGTCATTGCTCTGCTTGAAATGTTCCACAGTACGACATTAAACACATTTCACATTTGTTCAGTTACGGGTTTTATAGCTTAAAAATTCCCAGAAAAACATGGATTCTGTGAGCGGGGTCGCCTCTCCGCAGATCTGACCTGTAACTTGTTCTGGTTTGGTCTCCATGAAGATAGAAAGGTTTAATGCCATACTGCGAAACATTTCAGACAAAGCAGTAACATAGGGCCACTCGATTATGGAAAAAAATCATGATCACGATTATTCAGTTATTTATTAGTTACATTATTTTTCCAAATGTTTTTAATAATTTTCAGGCAAAAATGTTTACATGAAAAACTGACCACATTAACACAGGTAACCAAAAAAGAAAAAAAGAAAAAAAAAAAGAAAAACCAATTCACACACTCACAGACACAGTACACATTACACATATTCATGAAAAATGCAGGCACAATTAAATTTATCAGTTGCAGGTAAGTCAAAAATCCATATTCAGTGAAGATCTAAATTTTAAAAAGTGAAAATGGGTAAAAAAAATAAATAAATAAAATAATAATAATAATGATAATAATAAAAATAAATAAATAAATATTATTATTGTCACCATTATCATAGCTGACAACAACAACAATAACATACATACACATCATTCCTATTTTTTAGATGTGATATTCAAATAAGTTTCCCTTAATTTCGCTTCTTAATTTCTGTCTTTTCGCTTTCCCTTTGTTATAAATGTCAAATTTTCAAGGCCGATAAATGAAAGCTCCTTAATCCACTGTTTTGTTGAAGGGGCTTCAATATTTTTCCATTTCAAGGTGATGGCTCTTCTGGCATGTAATAGTCCAGTTTTGCTTGTTTTTTTGTCTGTAATAAACCTTCTGGATGTATTCCCAATGTGCACATTTAATTAAATTATTTTATTATTTTTTAGTTACACGATGCATTTATTTAGCATTTCTCTCTCTCAAAAAAAACGTTGTTATTGATAATTTACGCAAAACTTTCAAATTGAAAATAAATATAGGTTACAAATATGAACCTTAGAGCAGTTTTGCGATGTGTAAAACTTAAAATAAATAAAATATACTTTGAACATGAAATTACTAATCAATATTATTCAATAAATAAGTCGTTTCAACTCGACACAAATCGAAATCACAATCAAAATTCTATTAATTGCACAGCCTTACAATAACATCTAAAAGCATTTGACGAATCCTCCACCAGAAAAGTTACACAATGCACCTTTAATCTGACCAGTGTTGTTGTTCAGTGGACATAGTCATTTGAATCAGCAAACATTTTATTAATTTCTTTGGGTTTATTTTACACCTCCTCAGTGTGTCAATCCTTATTTCTGCTCTTTCTTGCAATAACAGAAAATGCTCTTTTGTGGTCAAACACATAAATGAATGATAATAATCGTTTGGTTTAGTATTCATGAGATGAATAATAAAAAAAAAAAATATATATATATATATATATATATATATATACTAAAGTTAATGAAAGAAAGGGGGAGAATTGAGAGAAAGAGAGAGAGAGAGACAGGGAGAGAAAAAGAAAAAGAGTGTGTCAGAGAGACAGAGAGAGGGATAAGATGTATAAGCAATACATAGGCTATTAATTATTTTAAAGGTGCACTATGTAACTTTTCTTATGGAGCATCCACCACCTGCTTGTCTCCATGGAGATCTTATTGCACTGCCAGGAATGTTCTACAGTAGGGCTTTAAACATACTATATATCTCCATGGAGACAAGCTGGCGATGCCACATCGTAAGAAGTCCTATCTGTTTTTCATGGTATTTTTGAGCTGTAACTGAATAAATGTAAAACCGTGTTCAGACCAAACGCGTCTGGCGCAAATAAATCGCGTCAAACACCCCTAGTTTGCCCCTTTACTTTTTTGAGTCATTCGCTTCATTTATGCATCCAGGTCGCTCGAGTTTGGGTTGAATTTGGTCGCACAAGTAAATCCGCTCTATTCGCTCCAAAAGGATCAAGTGCGGCTGCGCAGTGTTCTCTGTTTTCATTTCGAAAAATGATGGACAGACCGGGACCAAACCGGGACCAGACTAGGACTACAGTAAAGGAGAGAGGGACAGAGTCTAGTGTAGGTCCTCCTTATTCCGGTCTCTGTTCTGGCTCGTGCTGGTATCGTATAGTATTGGCTCATTTCCCACGGCAACAGTGAGTGTCTCCTCCATGTTGAATGAAAGTTCATGTTTATCTCGTCGTCATTATACGTCACTATCAGAACACAGCCCCTGATTGGTTGACGTGACGCAAATACTCGCAGAAAGTTCAAAATGTTCAACTTTAGTGAAATTTGTGAGCCCCTCCTTTTTGGGAATTCGCACGTCAACACCAGTTTTGCATATTCTATTCAAGCCGCTGAAAACGCTCAACATGCGTGAATTGCGCTGCCCAATTCGCATCATTCGTGCCGCAGAACTTTATTCGCCCGTTGACGCGCCTTCACATAAGGTTAACATGTAAATCATTCACTTTGTTCGTGCCAGACAATTTGAACAGTTTGAACACGGCTTAAGATGTAAAATGTAAGAAGAAGTATAATGCCGTACTGTGGAAAATTCCAGGCAGAACAATAACTTTTCCATAGAAACAAACCTATAGTGCACCTGTAAGCAGAATATAGTTTTTTATTTTTTGCTACATCGACACCCATCTTGTAAACTGGTTAAAACAATGTATGCAAATTATAGACCTGCTGTTTTATCTGCATCTCCAAATAAAATGGTAAAATTATTAGAGTTCATTTATTTTATTACAGTTAAATTAAAAGTTTAATAAAGTAACTTTGAACTGTGCAGTACAAAGTTTTGTCAGTGTTTCATTTTGTTTTTAATGAGAAAACAGAGCACTTTGTCTGTAGCCAAGCCCTTTTGTTCACTGTGCTTTTATTTTGAAAGGGAAGGAGACGTTATGCAGACGTTTGAGCTCCTGCATGAATGAAACTGGACTGATGTAACGTTGTGGACCTCAAATGTGATATGAGTTTTTCTTTAAAACTGTCAAATAAATATTACTTACTAAACCTCTGAAAAGTTTCATATGTTTCAAATTATAATTTCATTTCATTATTCATCAATTTGCATGTTTTTAATTTGCATTTTGTACAATTATTATTATTATTATTAGTAGTAGTAGTAGTAGTAGTAGTAGTAGTAGTGGTGGTGGTAGTAGTAGTAGTAGTAGTGGTAGTAGTAGTAGTGGTAGTAGTGGTAGTAGTAGTAGTAGTAGTAGTAGTAGTAGTATAGAAGTATAGAAGTAAGTATAGAAGCAACATTATAATATCTTAAATATTTCAATTAAAACAAGCACTGAGTTCTTTTTGTTTCCATTATGATCCTCCTCTCCATGGCCTCTGCTTTAACATGCATAAAACTGTGTGTATCTTTTTCTGTAGTTCATTAAAGCAGCACCATGTAACTTTCTGGAGGTGGCACATCACCTGCATGGTTCCATGGAAATACATAGCCATACTTTAGAACATTCTTCATGCAGGTAGATTTTGTCATACTGGAAAAACTCAGTGTGTCAACTGGACAAAAGTTTATTTGGTTGAATATGTTTCGCAGCTCGTCCAAGCTGCTTCTTCAGTTCTGGTCAAAATGCTGGTGGACACTTCCTTACTGTATATCTGCCTGACGGGAGGAGCTAACTACAGTGAAACTACTCTGAAACTAACACACCTACTTGTTTACAGTTTCTGTTAGGGTTAGGGTTAAGTTAGAAATAGACTGGGATTTCATGTTGTCTGAAAATCCTCTGACGTTTTTCAGAAACACCAGCAATGTAAGGAATAGTTACGGCCATTTTCCTAGGTTCTGATTCTCTTTTGTCTTGTTTTTGTTTTTTTTTAGCTCTCTTTGTTTTGTTGAAAGACCATTTTGGGTATCCACAAACAGAGATGACTTTCTGCATGTTGTTCTTCTTTCTCCTTTCCCTCTGTTCTTATGGCACCACTTGAGCTCTGTGTTGTAGCGTCTGAATAACTCCAGATCAGAGTCACCAGAACTGAAGAACAGTTTGGATGAGCTGCGAAACGTATTCGACCAAATAAACTTTTGCCCAGTTGGCAAATTGAATTTTTTCTTTGCCATGGATTCTATCTGGACGACTGAGGGATTTTACACACATACTGTGGAAGATTATAACCAATGGAACAACATTTCCTTGGAACCAAGCAGGAAAGGCCCTCCTCCAGGCCAAATAAGTCAGGTTTGTGGAGATGCAAGGCCAGTCTCAATAAGGGCACATGTTTTTTCAAATATATATTGTTTATTTGATGATTTTGAGGTGTGATTGGATACCTATAGCATGAACCCCCAAACTTTTCAGACCAGAAATCATCATTCACCCACATAGCAAAGTACGATTTATGCAAAATATGATGCTAACTGCTTTCTATCCTTAACAGTTAAACTCCGTTAAACAGTTCATTTAAACTTGCCTTTTTGCTGAAAATTGTTGTTTAATTAATGTGTGCATTGTGTCTCCACATCCCACCATTAGATGAACATGTAGAACACCCCCCAGTGTGATGTCACTGCAAGGTTACTGTGTGTTTGGCCTGTAGTTTCAGTTCAGGTGTGGAGTGTGCACGTTTATAAAGGACTTCAGTTCATCAGAGTAAGTGGGCCTTAATGTGTCTGGCCTCTGTGTCTCCTGTCTCTCTGTGGTGACTTTCCCTTTGCATGTGGGTGTGGTTTGGTTCATTTCCCATGTTTTGTCAATAAATTGTCTTATGTTTGTGAATCTGCATGTACAACTCTATTATTTTGTTAATTTGGTCCAACTTTATTATAACTACACCTTAATTAGCCCTAGTATGAACAAAGACATAATGAATTAATAGTTAAAGAATGATTCTGTCTTGATAATTGAATTAAGGGGTTAAGAATTAAGAATTAGGGAATTATTAATAAATAATTTAGCCTGAATCATTCTTAATAATTTGTTAATAATGAATTGTAGTCTCTGTGTCATTTTTGAGCTTTCACTTCTTTGTCTGAAAAGTTCCACAGTTTTTGTTTTTTTGTGTGTTTTTGAGCGATAAAAACACATGACACTGAATGAACGATCGATTATTAAATGTGATAATATAGACCAGAAGTGTCAAACTCAAATTTACAGAGGCCAAAATTAAAAGTTGTTGGCCAAACTAAATATTTATAAAATTTCAACAACATCTGCATATTTTCTCTTCTTTCAAGATACGTAATGTTAAACCTTTTCTTATTAAAATAAATGTTTAATAATAGTTTTGCTTAAACATTGAATCCAGAACAAGAATAATATAAAATAATAACAACATTTCAATTAAATAATGTCTCTATAGTCTATCTGTAGCCAGTGGGCAGCTCTAATACATATTTGATATGATCTCGCGGGCCAAATATAATTATATCATGGGCCAAATTGGGTCCCGGGGCTTGAGTTTGACATGTCTGCTATAGAACATTCCAGACAA